CTGCTGGCCCCTGCCCAATGAACTTTTAGGGAAACATTATTTCAGTATTCTAATGCCAAAGGGATCATGGTAACTGAATAAATACTTTGGGGACAAAACCTTTCTTTGGAAAGGAGCTAAAATTAGTTCCTTCTAGTTTCTTGGGATCTAAAAGTAACTGATTTGAAAACTAAAGGAATCAAAAGATGTTGCTGTTTTGTGTGACAGAATATTTTTAAAGAATTATTTATTTAATCCCATTTGTTATTGTTTTAAAATTTGATCAGAGAGAGAGAAATAAAGGAATTAAAAGGTGTTGCTGTTTTGTGTGACAGAATAAATATTTTTAAAGAATTATTTATTTAATCCCATTTGTTATTATTTTTAAATTTGATCAGAGAGAGAGAAAGGGAAAGTGAGAAAGCAAGCCACCAGGTCTGGGACTTGAACCGTGGTTGGCCATGTGGGAGCCGAGCACTTTAACGACCACACCACCTGCCATCCCCTAGAATACATTTTTCATAATTATTTGTTGGTATGAAATTTTTTAAGATGCTTTAGAATTCTGTGTACGTTTGTATGCGAAAGAATTAGTATCATTGATTATTCTTTTTCTATTCCACCTAACTACCTACCTACCACTTAATTCATATTACACAGATGAAATGAGTCATAAGCAACAAAGAATCTGCTCAAACTGGGCTTTTTACTATGAAGTGAGGGATGCTACTCTTGGTTTGATTACTGAGAGAGGCAACATTATCAGAAGTTCCTGATAAAGTGAGACACATAAAAACAGAAGCAATTTCCTACTGCTGCTGATCAATGCCAGACAGGACACTGCTAAGTCTGGATTTTACTCATCCGAGACCCTGAGAGACGAGGACATGTCTATTCATCTTCACGTTGCCCAGAGAGACTCAGACAGCTTGGATCCGATGTCAGGATTTTAGTTATAAGAGAGGTTAGAGGGGGGCCAGCAGGTAGTGTAGTGGTTAAGGCATTGGACTCCCACATAGTCGGCCACAGTTTGAGTCCTAGACCTGGTGGCTTGAACCTCATGCCATGCACATGTGTGTGTGTGCCAAAAATCCAAAGAGGAAGATGGAAGAGAAGGGATTGTGGCATGGCCATCCCCCGAGGGGTGGTTTCCCGTTCTCTCTGGAAAGCGCATGTGCCCTATAGCAAAAATCTGTCTTAAAAAAAAGAGAGAGTGGGACCAGCAGTTAGCGTAATGGCTGTGTCACTGGACTCCCATGTCGCCGACTGCGGTTCGCGTCCCGGTCCTGGTGGCTTAAACTCACGCCGGGTGTGTGTACGTGCATGCCCAAAATCCCGAGAGGAGAATAGAGAAGGGATTGAGGTGTGGCCATCCCCCCTGGGGGGTGATTTCTCGCTTTCTATCTCTCTGTCTCTCTCTGTCTGTCTGGCGAGCGCACGCGCCCTATAGCAAAAACCTCTCCAAAAAAAGAAAAAAAAAAAAGAGAGAGAGTGAGGTTAGAGACCATTTAGCCTAACACCCCAAGTTATAACTGGGGAAACTGAGAGCCAGGGAGATGGAGAACTCGGTCTTTGTGATTTGCTCTGGCAAAATGAAGTATGAGAACCTGGCTACTGACCTCCAGATCCCACCCTTTAAAATATGCTACACACACACACACACACACACACACACACACACCCACCATACCCCAGTGTGTCTGAGCTGGTTCTTGCTTCTGCCTGTTGTCCTGGCTTACTTATTAATGGAACCTACGTCCCTGTATGGGTGAAAAATCATGACAGAAATTCCCATGTTGAAAGAAAGAATGAACTGGTTAAGTTGAGGCCATGATGAGGCGAAGTCACGAGGAGGTTGAACAAAGCCCAAATGCCTTCACTCTGCAGATCTCGCTGCGTCCGGCTGCCTCGGGGCTGAGCTGGGCCCTCTCTGGAACGCTGCCGTCTTTCATGCTGTCGTTCATACCTCCACGCACATTCTCTCTCTCTTATACATACACACACAAGATGTATGCGTGCACACACACACACCTGTGCCAAGTCAACGGCAACGTGAGTAGTCTTGGACCAACGCACCTCTCCATGGCGCTGTAGCCCTAATTATGTAAAATGGGGAGGACGATTTGCTATGTGTAGTCCCACTTTACAGATCTTTATTCAGGACCAGGTCTTTCTGTGTTAACGTACCCCACATCTATCATCTGCTACTCTTCACCATTACATGTAACAGTACTGACTCTGGAGACAGTTCACGCCGAGCCACAATTTTCTTCCCTGGTAGAGAAGAACAGGAGAAAGGAGGAAATCTATACTGATCCATTCACCTCTCCACTGGTCTCTCTGTCACCAAGAACACCTGCATACCTGAAAGTCTTGGGGGCGGCAGTCTCTTCCTATCACCTCTGTACCTTGGATACCACCTGACAAAGAGCTCCCTTCTGTCAGGTCCGCCTGCTCATCTGAGAGTGAGCACTGTGTCTGGACAGACAAAGGAGTGAGACATGGGCTCTCAGGTCTTGCTTCCTGGCTGTCATCTTTAAGGAAGAACGGTCCCTGGGAATGCACTACGTTCAAGAGCTGGGTCTAAAGCTGAGCTAACTGGTCCGCAGGGCGATGACACCCTTGACCTTGGCCTCGTTAGCTCCATTCTCTTGCCTACTGAGCTCACCACCACTGACATCGGAACACTCGAGAGCGAGCTCATTACAGAGCGTGCGGCGGTGCATCTGCGTTTGCTGCGTTTCAGAGTAGCTCTCAGAGTAAGCCAGCTTTTCCCAGCGATGAGCTCCTGCAAATGGGAACGACAACAAACACACCTACTTCGGAGGCAAATCAGGCCAAGGGGAAGGGAGGAAAAATCTGTGATGAGGTGAGACCATAATAAGCCTCCAACCGCATTTGGAAATATAAAAGGAACAGGAATTCCAAATAGAATTTTTTTTTTTTTCAATAATGAGAGAAAGAGAGAAGAGGGAAATAAACAAATATCACACACTCTTAGTATCTGAAGAGGCAGGCCAGGTAATATAATTCTTGCCTTCAAGCTCCAGTAAACCCACCTTCTCTTCTCTGGAGTGGCTGTTGGCTATTATGCAAGCTGGAATTGAACATGGCAGGAAGAAAAACCCAACTGGGGGGGGGTCTGCTAAATTTAGCAAGGGTAAATCTAGGGGAGGAAAGGATGAGAGGAAGAGGTAGGGAGCAGGCAAGGAATGCTCGGGTATTCTCTATCACAGACGCGAGGAGACCTGCTGTGAGACATTCAGTACAAGGGTGTCTGGAATCTAGCTCTCGTTTGTGAAATGTTAATTTCCTAAACAAAAATGTCTTACCTTTTCATTTGCTAAAACCAAGAATAAAAAACATTAGCCCAACGGTTGGGGATGATCAATCCGCGCAAAAAAACGTCCCAAGAGACTGAGATGGTAGGCCCAGAGTGATCTGGTCTGAGGGAAAAGCACACATGTAAACGTTCTGTGTGTCTGCCCATCCGCTGTCTGACCAACCTGGGCAGGAGGACGTGGATGCCACGACCCTTGACTTGGCTGTTATGAATCAGCTGTGTGCAATGGAGTGGCGCTCCAAGGAAGATGTTCATGCCTCATTTCTGTACCTGAACGCCTGCTTTGGAACTCTGCTCAGGACCACAATTCAGTCCTGGCCTTCTGTTGTCTACCAGTGATTCCACGAGCACCGTGAGTCATAAGAGAAGAACAGAAACCAGAGATAAGCAACGACCCCAAATAAGCATAAACCCTGCAATAACCCTCGTTTGATACATAATGAAGGAAGCCCTGGCCCAACTTGGAGTTGCTGGGTTTGTGTTTTCCTCCTTCCCCAGCTTTTATTTCCCCCTGCGCCAAGGTTTTAATGGCTCCTCATTACTGTCCTCCAGAGTCCAGAAGTCTCTTCCACCCTCTGCTTCCAAGCATGTTAGAAAACACTGCTCTCTGCTGAAGCAGGGTGACAGCTCACTGCAGTTTACTGACTTTACTCTATTTGGAGTACATTTATTTTTCATAATGAGTGGGTCTGGTGGGGTGGGGGCCGTAGATAAGCTCTACAACCAAAGTCGTCTGACTTCTCTATATTCCAGGCCTTACCTCATACCCTGAAGTCACACCTTCTGCTTGGAACATTCTCTATTTTATGAGAGTATTGCTGGGCTTTCAAGGACTCCAGCAATGATCCCCTTTTTTTTGGAGAGATTTTTGCCATAGAGCGCGTGCACTCACCAGAGAGACAGAGAGACAGAGACAGAAAGCGAGAAATCACCCCCCGGGGGGATGGCCACGCCGCAATCCCTCCTCCTCCATTCTCCTCTCGGGATCTTGGGCACACATGCATATGCGCCCAGCGTGAGTTTAAGCCACCAGGTCCGGGACTCAAACCACAGTTAACTACATGAGAGTTCAGCGACATAGCCATTACGCTAACTGCTGGTCCCAATGATCCCTTTTTTTATGAAGCAGACCCTTCTTCTATATCTAGGTATAGTTGCCCCTTCTACTATCTCTATTTTTCTAAAAGTTTATTTATTACTTTCATGAGTTAAGAGAGAGAGAGAGAGAGAGAGAGCAGGGACCGATACCTACAAGAGGGTCTGGTCTTCCTGGCACAATCCACCTCCCAGCTGGCTTAGATCACAGGGATGCATGTACCCATCATGCTCAGGGAACTGCCAGGACGCGAACCCAGGACCTTTACCACGTGGGTCCAGCTGTGTTACCACTGCACCACCACCTGGTTCCCAGTACCTGTGTATGGCACCCATTATCATGGCGATGCTTTCGTACTTATGTGTACGTACATCCATCTCATTGCTTTGCTCAGTGTGCGAGCTCCAGGGCACTAAGGGCACATTGTGGCATTTTCCACAGTTCCTTACACACGGTAAACACTCGGAAAATGTTTGCTGAATGAACAAGGCATTACATAACTCAGAGAGGCTTATCAAGGTAACCATAAAAGCTCCTGATGGACCGAACCCTCAGCCAGGAAGGAGAAGCCTCCCGCAGTACCTTCGTCGTGGTTCTGATGCAGGGTGACCTCGGGCTGTGTGTGGATAGAGTTACCCGGGTGGAAGAAGGGTGAGAAGAGAATCCGAGGTTTCCTCTGCTTCAGAATATGCTGAAGGAGCTCATAGAGCACATCACCTGGAAAGGCAAAGGAACAGCAAGTAGAGAAACAGCAACACTTCATTCAACAACTGCTCACTGAGCTTCCACTGGCGCCTGGCGTGTACTAAGGATTCCACGGTGAACAAAACAGGGGTGCTACCTACCCTCCTGGAGTTCTCAGGATTCAGGCTGCAGCACTGGAAACTCAAGAGTTCAAAGCCAGGTGATCTTTTAAAATCAATCTTTTTTCCTTTTTTTTTTTTAAATTAATGTATTTTTTAACTGCCAGAAGGCGTGCGTGCTCCCCAGAAAGTGGGGGGGAAGCGTCCCCCAACGGAGCATGCTCACACTACAATCCCTCCTCCTCCATTTCTCCATCCTGTCGGGATTTTGGGGCACTCGTGCACATGCACCCGGCATGTTTTTCAAGTCTTTGGGTCCAGGATGTGAACTGTGTGGTTGGTCATGTGGGATCCAGCTCCCTTTACTAGGCCAGAAGGCCCGTCCCAAATTTTTTTTTTTTAATTATGAAAGTAATATACAAAAAAAGTTAATGAATGCAGAACACCAGAAAACAATCTCCTATAATTCCATCACGAAGAGAGAGAAACCCTGTTAATACTGTCAGTGTGTAATTAAAATCAGGCTTTTAGTAACTTAGTATCCTCCCTTTTCTCTGCCACGTTCACTTCTTTTTTTATTTACTTATTTTTTTTATTCTAATTTTTTGAGAGGTTTTTGCTATAGGGCACATACACTCGCCAGTCAGACAGAGAGAGACAGAGAGACAGAAAGCGAGAAATCACCCCCCGGGGGGATGGCCACACTGCAATCCCTTCTCCTCCATTCTCCTCTCGGGATCTTGGGCACGCACGCACACATGTCTGGTGTGAGTTTAAGCCACCAGGTCAGGGACTCGAACTGCGGTCAACTACATGGGAGTCCAATGACATAGCCATTACGCCAACTGCTGGTCCCTATTTATTTATTTTTAAAGGTTTTTGCCGTAGGGCATGTGTACTCACTAGAGACATCCGAGAGAGAGGAAAAGTGAGGAAAAATCACTTCACAGGGGGATGATAGCCAGACTGCAATTTCTTCTCCATTCTCTTCCTGGGATTTTAGACGGACATACACACAGACACACACACACACTGCCTGGTATTATTTTCAAGCGCCCAGGTCTAGGACTCGAACCATGGTTGCCATGTAGGAGTCCAGCACCTTAACCACCACGCTACCTACTGGCCTGCTGCATTCACTTTTGAAGACTTTTCCTTATTAAAGAACTGCTTTGCAGTTACCTAATAACACTGGTACATCAGAAGGAAAACAGACTTCATTGGAAATTGAAATGATCCCAATTTATTATTATTTTTGTGAAAGTATCCTTTTTACATCTAGTTTGCATTTCAGACTATTCAGAGAATTATGAAGTCATTAAGTATGAATATTTGTAATGTTCCAATGACGAGTCACAGAGTCTTCACAGAGATCTTCCCTACAGAGAAATACCTTCCTTCCTAATTTATTCTAATCCCAGGCAGGAAGAGAATATGTATATTAAAAAAAAAAAATCCCCCAGTCTGGTCAGAGGTGCTAACTATTAAAGATACTCTATAAGGAACTGGCATGGTCTGGGATAACTCCCTCCTTTACAAACACACACAGGCACTGCTCCAAGGTTCTGTAATCTCTAGAAAAATCATTTTGAGATGTAAGCCCCTCTGGGAGGACGGTGGGGGCTGGTGTTGAGCAGGGCCCTCTGTTCTGATATATTTGGTATTTGAAGTGTCCGCCAAGGAGTTAATTAGCAGAAACTCCTGTCATGGTCTTGTTCTACCCCTTTGACTTCGATCCAATTTCAAAATGCAGGTGGGTGCCTTGAAACCTTTCAGAGGGTGGGTGACTAATCTTTAAAATACCACGGGCCTCTGACGGTCCCCCCACGCCCTTCCCCACACACAGATACGCCATCAACAATTGTACCAAATAACGGGCCTTTGTCTCCAATTTTAGCCATTTTAACAGATAGTTTAACTAACAACTTAATTTAACTGCATATTTTGGGTTGTAGACATTGCTATTTTTTTCTTTCACCCTCAGCATGACCCCTAGAATTGCGCCATATTAATTTCATTCTGCAAACCTCTAGTCCTTTACCATGGGACCAAGTGAAGTTCTGTGGGTGCCCTATTGCAGGCAATTTCTGGGGGAGCCCCAAGCCTTGGCGGTGTCTTTTTCTTCCCTCTACCTTTGAACTCTGGCTGCTATTAGTCTAACTTACTGCTACTGCTCACTATTAGATGAAATAAAGCCAAAGACTTCAAAGAGCTGAAGGTGTCACATCTCCTGGGTATTTCATTAAAAGGGGATAGGCTGGAAGATGCAGAAGGGTTCTGAGCTTGACTTTTGAAGGTGTCACATCCAAGGTAGAACCCTGGAGCACACGATTGTATTCTTGCACCAGGAAAGGGATTTGGAGCTCATGGAATCCAAACCTAGTAGTCATGGTGATGTCGCATGAGATGGGGATATAGAGCCTGAAATACAGTCCTATTTTAATGATTCATATTTGAATCGTATACAAAAATAAGTCCCTAATCAACACTTTGTTTCTTTCAGTTTAGTGTAATGTCTTCCTGAACTTTTCCGAATTTACACAGCCTCGCATTCGCTGGGTTTTATCCTGCGGGCTTGATCGAGGTTTTATTTCGGTAGTACGCAGAATAGAAAATGAAAACATTTAAGAATGTGTTCCTGATGATTACTCTTACTAAAAAAAAATGGTCAGTAATTAGTGCATCCATTTTGGAAGGGGAGGCCAGGAAATATAAATTTAGTGTCTGTGAGGGTGTTCAGTTCTGTTCTCTCAGCAAGGCAGGCTGGTGCCACAGCGAGGAGCATGAACGTGGAGCGGGGCTGCCTGAGCCGAGGTCCCAGCCCCTCCATACCAGGTGACTGTGAACAAGCCCACGAATTCTCTGCAAAATACCAATCGCAGCACCCCCCGAGGTGATGTCATGAGGCAGGCAGAGCAGGGTGTGGTGCATGTGTTGCAGCCCGGTCCCTACATGGAGGCTGCCCCAGGGCTGGAGAAGTCCCCCGTGGGCTGACTTCACCCAGCACCAGAGAGTGGACTGGCCATTTTCTTCTCTGTGTTTTCATTTTTTCCATGTACATAGAAAAAGGGAGGTGACACCTCAGAGGGGTAAAGGGTCTATGTTTGGAGGCAGACTGGTGCCTCCTTAGTCAGGTGCCTTAATTTGTCCAGGCCTCAGCTTCCTCCTCTATAAAATGGCAACACTACTGCCACCTTCCATCGTGTAG